AGAAAATTATATATCTTAAAAACCATATGGTAGAAGTTAAAAATGTCAGGTAGGATGGTTTATTTTGAGAAATTGAAGTAAGGAGGAAATCATTTACTTGGAGAATAAAGAGGAAATATTTTGAGATAAAGATTGGGGGAAATTAAGAATTACAGAAATTGAGACTTAAAGATTACCATAAAGATTTCTGGACCAAGTCAAATAGGAAATTGAAGGCCCAGGAAGGGGACCGAGTGCTTGAGAGCTGCTTATGGCTGTGGCCACAGCCAGGCCTTCCTCTGGAGACCACTGGCCAGACCACTGGGCGTCTCTCCTATAGCTGGGCCCTGAAGGAGAGGTCCAGTCTAGACTCAGGGCTGGCACCCTCAGCTGAGGGGCGGCTCTGGCCACCGGGTGTCACTGCAGTGCACACGTGTGAGGACTCCTGACTGCTTTTTTCATAACCTTTGGGGGTCTTCCTATGTTATCACATTTCTTTCCTAGATTGGCAACTTCTGCCTTGCTGTGACCACTTGCCCACATCCTATGTACAGATGTTACCACGGTGAATAAAACAAGGAAACAAGGTAAAGAAGTGATCCTTGGCCCTATGGCCACCTTTAACTGTGAGCCCACTTGTCCTAACTTCTCAGCCAGCGTCCTGTAGTAGCCCACCTCTGCATGTCTGTCTCTGAATTACTTACTCATTTACTATAATGGGTCTCCTGTCACAACCACTTCATTGAAAGAAAGCTAGTGAAGTCCGTTTAACCCTCATCTGTGCGCTGTTTGAGACTCTTGACTCATTGCTCTGCAAATCTCCATTTGAAACTTCTGGCCCTACTGAATATAAAATAAGGGTCTTGGTTACTTGCAATTGAAACTGATCTTGGCTAATGTTTGGAGAAAATGTTCTTTTTTTGGAAAGTTGGCAGACAGTTAAGTAGCCTTCCCTTATCCCTTCAGAATGCTGGTTTGATTTGGGAGGCAGTGTCCCTAATTCTTTGCTAGATCTGTGTATTCTCAGGGTTCCCAGCAAGGGGTGGCCATGCCGCACAATTCTGACCAGCATGTGCAAATGGACACCTGCTGGGGGACATCAGAGAGAAGGAGGCGGCCTGTTCTTTTAGCTTTGACCCCAGTCGTGTGACAAGGTGTTGCTGGAGGATGTAAGGGCCATGCCATTCGTGAGGCATCGGGCCTGCGGATGCCAAGCCAGTATGCCAAGGGCACAGGGCAGAGGATGGGAAGAGCATGGGTTCTAGCTCCCTGAGATTCTGTGCTCAACGCTTAACTGCCCATCACCACAATCCTTGTTAGATGACGTAATTAACTGTCATTCATTGCCTAAGCCACTGGCTGGTGTTCTGTTATTTGTATCCAAAAGGTACTTCTGTCGTAAACTCAGAACACCATTTGATGGTTCTTGGAGTACCTGGAAGATTGGGGAATGCAGCGTGGGAAGGGAGGCCAGGGCGAGAACCGCAGCGGGGCCTGCAGCTCAGGAACAGCGTGGCTGGGGCGCACTGCCCGGGGACTGCCCTCTGGACCGCCTCGGGCCGTGATGGATGTCCCGCTGCCACAGTCGCGGCACAACAGCGCCTCCAGTATGAATAGGATGCACGACTCTGGTGTGATTTTACGTTTTCTAGTTGCCACATTAAAAACAATGAAGAAAACCAGCTGGATAAATTTAGTAACATTTTTATTAAGCCAAACATATCACAGTATTAATATTTCAACATGTAATAAATATAAAAAAGAATTGCTAATGGAATATTTTGTATATTTTTTGTACTAAGCTTTAAAAATCTGTATTTAATGCAACAGCACACCTCAGCCGGGCTAGCCCCTTTGCAAGGGCTGTGTTGGCTCAGGTGTCGAGTGGCCTGTGTGTTGGCCGCCATAGCTCAAGAATGACTCCAGCCCAGCCTAACTCATGGGACTGTGTCTCCCTGCCCGGGCCAGGGAGGGGAGTGACAGACACCCTTGTTTTCCTGAGCTGGGAAGCCTCTTGGATGTGAAGAGTTGAAAACTGGGCAGCCAGAGAAGACAGGTGCTCACCACAGTGGCATTTCCCTCCTGGCCCTTCCCTTGTGTGTCTCACCAGTTCTTCCCTCCGTGTCTGCCCTTTAAAAAGGGTGATCCTCAGGGTGCCACTGTTGGCCTTTTGGCCTTCCCTTCGTGCTCCTTCTTTGATCTAGTCTCTCTCTGGTTTCAGCCATTAACGTAGACCCGTGACTTCATATCTATTTCTAACCCTGTTATATTCTAGCGTGGTAGCTATATATGCCTTTCCTGGATAGACACGGCCCCTTACGTGTCCCACTGACTTCTCACCATTACCCAGTCTCAGCTTGTCATCTTCCCTCTACAACTGCTGTTCCTCCTCTGACCCTGGACCTTATTTAATACAGCCGCTGTGTTGTAGGGGCATCTGACTTTCTCCTCACACCCTCACTTCTAACCTCTCACCGGTCTTGGGCCCTGTTCATTTGCTCTTAACTTTTCCGCCAGTGCGGCCCTCCTCCTCTGAGCCGCATTAATTCCCCCCGTCTCCCAGAGGACTGGGGCAGTGGCCTCATAACGTGTCTGCTGCCTGTGCTTTGTGTCCCCCTTCACTTCCCTTCCTCTCCTCCACCTCCCCCCGCCCCCCAGCTCTTCCCCGCCGTGCGGCCAGAGTGCCCTCTAACGCACACAGTGCTGTTTCTCTGCCTCAGCTTTTCCAGTCACTCCTGTTGTCTGTGGGACAGAGGCCAAGCTCCTTACTGTGGCATAGAGGGCCTCCTTGTCTGTCTGTCCATTCTGTCCTCCCTTCACTTCTGACCTTAAACTTGATGTTTTGGCCACATGGAATCGGGTGGATAGGAACTGTGGAATGCTCTCTTGATAATGGGCTGGCCCTGTTACCCTGGAACACACTGTGGATTCACGTGGTTTTTCTGGGTGCCCTCTCCCCATCATGCCCTTTGCACCTTTCTTGCCAGTGAAGTCTTGCTCATTTGGGAGGCTCAGTGAAGGCATAATCTCTGGCAGTGTTCCCTGAGTTTGGAGGCTGGACTAAAATACCCCACCTCTCTATTTACCATTCTCTGTGTCTCTTTATTTTTCTGCCTATGATCTGAAATGATCTGTATGTAGCTGGGGGTTCTTTGAGGCCAGTGTAGCAGCTTATCCTTCTCTTATCATGCAACTCGTTGTGCACCATCTGGCTCAGTATGTTTTTGTTGAACTGCATTAGTCAAGTTTGAAGAACCGAGGGTGGAAGGATATTGGCCAAATTGCAGACATCTTGCAAACAAAAAGCATTCAAGTGTGTGATGAGTGAAGAAGGAGAGATCAGATTATTTTGTTTTCTAAGTCTGGTCAGTTTTGGAAGACAAATAATCTCAGGTAGTGAAGCCTTTGTTATCTTAACCATACCTGTTGTACTGCATCAACATAAAGCACTGTCACTCATGAGTTACCCCGTAGAGGTGATGTGCCACTGTGAACGTGACGGATCGCACCCCATACCTCTTCATCCCTTGTGTTCTGGGGCGCTGAGGTCTATATCTATTCTCTGCCTGCTCTGCTCTTGCCAAGGCTAATACCAAAGAAGAATTTACCAGTGTTTATACCTAGAGTAGCAGTTGGCAAGCTATTGCCTCTTTTTATAGAGTGAATTTTATTGGAACACAGCTACAGCATTAATTTACACATTATGTATGGCTGCTCTGTGCTCCCACAGCGTAGTTGAATGCTTGTGACAGACCATGTGGCTTGCAAAGTCTGAAATGTTTACTATAATAAGTTTGCCAACCCATACCTGAGAGCCACTTAGTGTTGTAAAGACAAAGCCTAAGGAATCTGTATTGGGTGATAATCTCCAATTAGGAATTAGAAGCATACAGATTGAAAAGGACAAATCTCTTTGAGTTTGTGTACCCTGTTTAGCAGATTTCTTGCTGCTCTACATTTTACTACAATCATTTTTCTACATGTATCATTGAAGACAGATTGTCCACATTTCTTACTTTGCCTCAAATATATGTATATTTATTATGTATTTAATAACATGTTTGTGGGTGTGGGTGTGTATATATATATATATGCACACACACACATATATGTTTTTTAAGTTTGAAAGTTCTAAAATTACTCCAGCCATTTGGAAAGCATTGAACAAGTCAGGTATGTGATATGTACGTTAAAGAGAGAGTTTGTATTTTTGTCAGATTGCTTAGTTGGTAGAGACTTAAGTATGTCACTTCCATGAAAACAGCTCAAGATATTAATTCATCTGTTGCCCTCCCTGTAGTCCTTTCCCCATCCTTGCCTCTGTCCTTTGGTGGACACAATTTCCTGTGGTTTAACCAATTCATTACTGTTCTTATTTCTGAAAACACGTAGGCTGTGAGGGCAGAGTCCTGGACGTACGTTTGCCGTGGCATGTACCTCCCCCTGCCATGTCACCAAGGGCTGTGTTAGAGTTCTTTGTTGACTGGTCAGGTGTGCAGGTGGACCAGTCAGGATCGATGTCAACTTGAATGCTGGAGCAGGGCCTGCCCAGGAGTACCTGGCTGGTGGGGGAATCGGGGGTGCTGGGGTTGGGAGCTGATTGAGGCTGGGGTCGGGCGTGAGGTGAGAGGATAGGGTTCACCAGCTGATGATTAGTGTTGCTTCTGTCAATGTGTACATTACTTCAGTAAAGCAAAGGCCCTTTTGATTCATTCTTCCATCGGACGTTTATTCACTCTCCCATGTGAAGACTAGATGGTGTCCTAGGTGTTAGGGATTCAAAAATGAGTAAATGCATTTCTTGCCAGACAGATGTGCTTGGAACAGCATGGTAGGAGGTGGGAGATTGATACAGCACCAGGGTGGAAAGGTTCTGGGCAGACAAAATAACAACATGTTCATTATGGGTCTGTTTTTTAGGCCAGAAAAAACACCTTTTGACATCTTGCGCTGAACTAATAAAAAACTAAATTTTCATAGCAGTTACTTTTCTAAGATCTAAATAAATTTATCTATTTTAGGTTGCCTGCCTGATTCGAGTTCCTTCTGAAGTGGTTAAGCAGAGGGCACAGGTATCTTCTGCTTCGAGAACATTTCAGATTTTCTCTAACATCTTATATCAAGAGGTGAGATGTGTTTTCAAGCTCTCACTCTTTTTTTTGTTATTGAGAAAGAATTTATAGTAACTAATGTGAACGCTGAGCCTATCATCCCAGGAGCCTCAGAAGAGACCTTAAAGCTAAATTTTATGTTATGTCCAGTTATCGCAGCTTTTTATGGTGATGTTATCTTTGCCTTACCTTCACTTGTTTTCAAATTTTAATTTTAATCTTAATTTCAGTTTTAAATTTCGAAGTACAAATTGGATGCCACTACTGTATACATTTTCTATATTAAAATCCTTCTATAGTTATTTTGGAATCAGACATGGACTAAATAACAAATATATACAGTGAGTAAAAATATTAAATTAAAACATTGTAATTCTTTTTTACTTGCGGGTCCAGTCGTTCTTGTGGCCATGTCACTGGGGACCAGTGAGCCACTTTTCTTTATATTTTTTACAGAAGCCTTTTTTTTGGTGGAAGTCAATCCCATGGAAATTTCAGTGACTCTAGGTTTTAGAAAAGTTATTCTCAGTGGTTCCTCTTGGCACCTCAGGGAGTAAACGACGAGTAGTCAGATGAATGAGATCATTCCAGTGGAGAGCCCTGGTTGAAACCTGGGTATGGTTAAGTAGGTAAGCGAAGCCTTTTCCAGAGCTTTTATCACTTTTAAGAAATCATTAATGAATTTCTGATATCTTCTGATTGAAACTATGAAGTATATAATTCTGTTTCTGCTTGAAAGGATAATTGGCATTCCATGCAATTGCTTTCTTTTGGAAATATGTTTATTTAAAGCATCTCAAGTATTATTTTTCAGGAGGAGAAACGTTGAAAGCACCTAAAGGTAAATTAATATGTAGTTAGTCTCAGTAGATGCTCCCCTTTGAAAGGGAGCTGACCTGAGCTTAATGAGCTTTAGGCCAGTTTAGAACGTTTCAACCTCTTACAGAACTGTGATCACTGTGAATATTTTAAAGCCCGAACTTTTGGAAAGCTAAATATCTTTATTCAGAATATCATTGCAAAATCTCTGTTGTTCTACCTTTTTGAGTCCTTTTGTTTTGTTTTGTTTTATTTCAGGGCGTCCAGGGACTGTACCGAGGCTACAAAAGCACAGTTTTAAGAGAGGTAACTCATTTTCCAGTGTTGAAGTACAAAAGAATAATGTGCTTGTTCAGTGAGTTACCTAGAGGAAGTTCGTTTAAAAAGTTAAAATGGGGAAATTACCACTTTTTAAAACATTGCTGAGTCCTATCTGGGTTCTTGCACCTAGCGAATGGGTAGAGTGGGTTTGCTGAGAGACTGATCAGAGCGGCCCATCCTCTAGCATTGTTGTCATTCTAGGGAGGCTAAATTTAGAGCTGAAATATTAAAAAGTAGCTACTTAAGTGTAAGATCCCAAGTTAAGTACTCTGATATACAGGGTGAATGAAAGGAACTGGGAAGTTCAGTCTGGCATGGTATCTGGGTACTGCTGGTGACACGCAGCGCAGGGTGCCCCAGATGGCCGCTTCACCTGTCTGTGATGTCCGACTCTAATATCCTGTGATTCAATATGTGGTAAATCCATTCTTCTTTGGGGGAGGGGGTTGAAAAAGCAAAATGATTTCAGTATGTTACTACAGGAAGCATATTTTAATTTTGCCGCACATAGAGGATGATATTTTGAAGTTCGAAAGTTCATTTATGGATATGATTTGGAACATCATATATTTTAAGAATTGAAATCTTAGGGTTCCCCCCTAAGATACTTAAAGTATACAAGTTGATGGTTTGATATATGCACAGATTTGTGAAAGGAGTGGGACATGACTTTCTGTTAATGACAACACAAATGAGAATCTGCATGTGTGCTCTGTATCCTTGTTTTCTGTTTGCAGTTCCTTGGGTGGTAAAATGTTGTTGTTTATAAAAATAATTTAGGTAAATGTTCTCATAATTAGCAGAATATTGAAATTCTTTGAAATCCCTACTTTTATTCCTTGGTAGGTTTTTGTTTTGTGTTTTTACTGCAATTTACAGCCTTTTTTATGAAACACCAGCACCCTATTACATGTTCTGTAAAGCTTTGATTTGTGCAAGGTAACAACCTTTGTTGTAGTTGATACAGATATTTGAAAAACTTCTTTTGAAGGAAAACTGAATGTTTGAAAATTAGTTATTTGTGTGAAGATGACTTCCGCCTTTCAAAAATATCTCCTGTACTATATCTTCATTCTGTACTTATTTTCCAACTCACTAAACATGTATTATTTACTCAGATTTCACCTGCGTGCAGGAGAGAGGGGGAGAGCACAATGAACCTTTTTGTTTTTCTGAGAGATGCTGAATAAATATATTTACATGCCAAAGAATACTGGTTTTGCATACGAACTAATACATAAAACACATGGTTACAACTGCATTCTGTTCTTTAAAAAATTTGTTTTGACATCTGTCACACTAGTAATTAATTTCTATGTCACGCTTCTTGCAGGTAGTGCAACCCCACTCAGGTGATTTTATTTACTCAAAATGGCAGTGCTTTGTTGGAAATTTAATTGGGGTCTTCTGCATTATGCGTATTCATAAAAGATCCTTCAGAACTGATTTTAGTTGAAATATTGCTTTTGTACAGATTGCCTGATAGGATGAGAGAAAAATTATTGCAGAATGAAACATAGCTTCATTTCAAAATAAGAAAAATAAGAAGTGATATGTCTGCTTTAAACAAAATTTTTGCATTATAAATAGTTTCAGTTCTTACATTATTCTGACACCAATATCTAATGTGTTTGCCCAGAGCTTGTTTGATTGTTTCAATAAGAAAATACATTGAAGCCTTAGTGAGAATCACCAGGAAACTTACACGTTTATTCTGTGCATAATTTTTTCTTTAAAACAGTTTTATCTTCCTAGCAGTAGGCCATTTGAATGAGGTTGAAGTTTGAATCCATGCATTATAAGGTAGATTATGTGTGTTCTTTAGATTTTGTGAATTCTATCATGTATATATGTATATATGTGTTTTACTGCATTTGATGTTTGTGGAGATTGCGTTGCATTTCTTATCCCTTATGTTCTCCTAAATTATTTTAGTTACTGTGAAATTTAGACAGAATCTAAGCAAGGTTAAGAGATTTTAGTTACTGTGAAATTTAGATGGAATCTAAGCAAGGTTAAGAGATTGTACTATTTGCCTTACCCTTTCAGTATTCATTTCCTCAAGATCTTGGCCATTTTAGATGTGGTCAAGCATCACGATACAGTGGTGTTACTGCTTAGGACAGAAATCAGGAACAAAATCTCAGCTACTTTCACAGCCTGGCTGATCTCAGAGGGCCTAGTGCCCTATAGGTTCTATGGAGAGCAGCATCAAGATGGTGGGGGTGACTTAGGAGCATGTCTCTAGAGAAAGGCAGGTCATTGTGAAAGGAGAGAAATAAGTTCAGCAAATGCATTTTATCCACAGATTCTAGTCAGCAGTCGTTTTAAGAGTGCCTGCTGCGTGGTGAACCACATGGACCATCCCTGCCCTAAGGGATTCACATTCTCGTGGGAAAACAAATGAGAGAGTCGACACTTTATATCGCTGTAATACATGTATGTACAGCATATACAAGATGCATGTGAGATGACAGAAGGCGCAGTGTTGGGGGTACTCAGGTGGCATTTCTTGAATTCATAAAAATGGGTCTTGAATCACTCCCTGAAGGAGCGGCAGTTAGACACTGTGAAGGCAGAGGTGACACAATGAGGAAGGGCCCAGTGTGAAAGAGCATGTGCACACTTGTTAACCTCAGCAGAATCGGCGTGATTTCTCCCTTCCTCAAGCCCAGGGAGGGTGCTTCAAGAAGGCTCTGGCCACAGGGGGTATTTGCCAGGAGGAGAGGTTGAGGCTTACACCCCACTGGGGGTTGGCCAGGCTACTGGAGTAGAGCACATGGCAAAAGCCCCTGGAAGAATCTGCCATGCAGCCCCTATAGTTTGAGGATAAATTACTGGTGTTTACCTCTTTGCACAAATCTGATGGTGAGCCACTGATCGGAGCCACCTCAGGAGCTGGTTGCTGCCACTTTGCTAATGAATACCTGCTGGCTTCTTGTTGGTGGGTCAGAGTCGCCACCACAGAGATTTGAGATAAGTGAGGATTATTATCTTCTTTCCCACAATTTTGCTGCCAGGCTTCAATGAAAGCAAATCTTCCTATAAATTCTTTTACACATGCAGTCAAAAATCAAGCAGGCCAAAATAAGTCAGACAGCCTGAGACTACTGTAAAAATTTATTGTAGCCCTCAAATCTGTCCTTTTAGCTGCAAAAATCACCATGCTGATGGAAAAGTCTACTCACAAGTAGACTTTGGTAACTTTCCAAACTTAGTCTTATTGTCTATTTCAAGCCATGAGACTTACCCCTAATGTAGTGGTTGGAAACAGGAACCTTCAGGAATCAGGCCTCAAGGATTGTCCTTCAGTCTGTTTCCCAGCTCTGTTGGCCCCCTCAATTCCATTTCTCCCAAACTCACATGCTGATCCTATACCATTTCATATATGTTTGAGGATGTTTGTAGGTTATATACCCAAAGTGGAATTGCTTCGCTAAAGGGGTATGGGCATTTATAATTTCTGGTGATTACACATCGCCAAATTGCCCTTCATGGAAGGAAGTACCACTTCAAACAAACCAACAATGTAGGAGGAGTTTTCTGTTTTCTTCTGCCTCACCAATGGTAGCAGCAATCTAAGAGATGAAAAATGATTTTGCTTTCTTCAGAGCCTGTCACAAGCTATGATTATCAGTATTCTTTGTAACTGAAAGGGCTTGTGACAGGAAATGACATGTGTTTGAAATGTAACTCTGCCCCTTACCAGCTGTCTGCTCTTGGCAAGTTACTTAACCTCTCTGAGACCAAGTTTGCCCACCTGTGCTAGGAAATTTGCATAGATTGTACTCACTGAAATCTCACAACAGTCTTATGAAGGTGGTGTTACAGCCGTATAGTTTGCCATGGCACTCAGAAATGAAGAAACCTGCCCCTAGGTTGTTAAATTCTTGTACAGAGATCCAACCTTGATCTCTCTGTATTTAAACCTGTGAATGCCATTTCATGATGTTGAGTAATAATTGTGTTCGAGTTAGAGGCCAACTGATACATTATTTGTAAAACTTCTTGGCTACAATTGCCCGCTACAATTGGAGAATGTTTTATCCAAAGGTCTTGTAGAGACGAATTGTTTATTCAGTTGCAACTGATTTCATATTTACTGGCTACTTCTAAAGGAAAAACAACATATTGGTTATAATGTAAAGTGACTGTAACTGATGGTTGAGCTGATCAAGATGACTAATGTAAATGTGTTGGAAAATTTTTGTAATTATTCTCTTTTGGGTCAGATTGATAATTTACTGGAATTTATTTCCCAAATAAGATTAGCCATTTAGAGGAAGTCTTTCTTAACAAGATTGCAACATTTGGATGTTTACCATTGGAAAATGTTTTCAAGCAAGTAAAGCTAGAACTTCCTTTACTTATTTACCATCCTTAAGCCTGTATACTATCCTTGCTTTCATGATAATAAAAAGAGGGAAAAAAAACAGGTGCTAATAAGGATTTTCTTCTCCTTGTGTTAGTGCTGTGTATCTGTTTCTGTGTATATATGTTTGTCTGAAGTTGTTGTCTTTGATTATGCCTTCCTTTCTCCTTTGGTGTGTCTTTACATTACAGTTCTATCTGGCTACAGTTAATCACACCTTTTCTTCCCAGATACCATATAAGTTTGTCTTGAAAACAGCTGGAGGCTTACCTCTTTGTAGCTTGCACAGGCTGAAGTATAATACCTTCCACAGTATCAGCACTCAGTAAATATTTGTTGGCTTTTGTCATTTCTTTGAGTTTGGTTATTTTTTGTTCAGTAGCTCCTGGGTGCCATGACCATCTTAGAACATTAAGAGAGCTCTCAGGGGACTTGGAATTATGCAGGGCAGTGGCTCAGTCTTTGGATATACTGCATTATAAGACCTTTGCATTAGAGGCGATGAAATACAAGAGAGTATATAATTTTCTAATATGACAGTCTTCCTAAACCTTGAAAAAATAGTTTTTATAAGCCTGGTGTCACCAGAAAAGTAGTAAATGCTGTAATTAAT